TGGGGCGCTGGGCGTCAGGTGCGCGCTGAGTACATAGCTGACGTGTGTCCGGGAAAGTTGGAAATGACCGAAGTGCTTTTTAAAAGATCAGTGATTTAGTTCAGACGTTATATACTGACTGCCTGCCGGGTGTGATGCCCTGTTAGGCTCTTAGGGAAGAAACGGGTCTGTATCTTGCGGAGGGTACGTTCTAGGGGGCGGGGCGGGGACACTGATGAATGAGCCACACAGTCGGGCCCCAGGTGGGAAGTGCTGCAAGAAGAGGGGCGGGTGCATGGCAGGGGGGCAGTTGCCGGGTTCGGTAGCTCCTGGGCCACGTCGTGGGATGAGCCTTGGGCAGAGGGATGAGCCCCGTGGCCCCTGCGGAAACGCTAGGCGGAGGCGGAGGCGGAGGCGGGAGGGAACCGGTGTGTGATGAGGAGCCAGGAGGCTTGTGGAGTGGGAGGGAGGCAGCAGGGGAGACGCAGGACCGGGGGGGCTTCGGCTTTCCCTGGGTGGAACGGGAACCGTTGCAGCATTTGGGCCAGGGGACTGGCGTGGTGTGAATATCGGGTTTGAAAAGTCCACCCAGGCCGCAGTGGAGGCTGGGTTGGGAAGGGAAGCAGGGAGGCCTGTTAGTAACAGCTAAGTTCAAGGGCATCCCTGCGGCGGACTTGAAAGATGATGAAGATGACAGTTACCGTGGAAGTGTTCACGTTTTTGTGCTGAGCGCGGGCTCCGCAGGCGTCAGCCTTTGCAGTCTCAGGGCAGCCTGTAGAGGGCGGTGTTTTCGGGGACCCTGCGGCTCAGGCCTGTTCAGCCAGAGGTGACCGCGCAGCACTTGCCGCTGAAGCCTTGTGTTGAAATGTGCAGTTCACGGGCATCAAGTACACTCACAGACATCCGTTTCCAGAGCATTCCTACGTCTTCATTGCTATCGGCATCCTAAACCCAGGTCCAGTCTCACTCCCATACATAGCTCAGGCAGCCAACTCCATCAAGGCGTTATACCTTAAAAACGCCTAGCATGTGCCAGGCAGTGAATGAAATCACCGAGGGTTCTGTTTCCCCCCTGTCCTAGTCTGGGGGGGGGGGCGGGGGGGACGGACCAGCGATTTGAGAAAGAAGCACCAGGTAACCATCATTGTGGTCCTGAAGTCAAAGACACTGTTGAACATAAAGGCCGAACACTTGCACCATTGATTCAGTCACCTCCGTATTTAGTAAGTGTTGAGTACTTACTGCAGACACAGTAGATCAGTGGTTCTCAACCTTCCTAATGCCGCGACCCTTTAATACAGTTCCTCATGTTGTGGTGACCCCCAATTTCATTGTTACAAATTGAACATAATTAAAGCATAGTGATTAATCACAAACACAATATGTAATTATATATGTGTTTTCCGATGGTCTTAGGCGACCCCTGTGAAAGGGTCCTTCGACCCCCAAAGGGTCGCGACCCACAGGTTGAGAACCGCTGCAGTAGATACTCATGTTTGTGAGATGGTTAGTTGGATACAGCTCCTTGACCCTGACTTCTCATTTTCTCTGGTGGTTGTCATTGGAAATGGTGGAACTGGGCCTGACCCACAAGAGGTTTTGGCAAATGCTGGTCTTTAGCTTTGTGACTTTCAGGAAGTCCCTTTCTTTAGGGGGCCTGTTTCCTGGTCCCTTTAGTAGGGGAACCAGATATTACACAAATGGACAGTGTTAAGAGATTGCATAACAAAGGAGCCTGACTTAGAACAGGGTGTCAGAGAAAGGCCCCTGCAGTGGTGAGCCTCCTGGGAGAGGTGAGCTCTAAGCTAAAATTTGAAGGATGAACAGGAGCTCTCCAGAAGGAGAGGGGGGTAGGAGTGGAGCCAAGGATAGGGATTCTCCACACGGAGATCAGCGAGATCTGAATTCCTGAGAGTTTCTGATCTGTGAGAAGTGGCACTGGGGGCCCATTCAGGAATTCCTCTTCTCAGCCCCTTGCTGTTTAAGCTCAGTTCTGTCATGGGGCTGCCAAATAGACCTGTGCCGACCTAGCCTCTGGACTGAGAACATTTGCAGAACCAGCGTGGGAGGGGACAGTGGGACTACCTGTGGCCTCTCATGGTCCTGTTCAGATTCTGTGTTGACTGACAGAAAACAAGAGAGGGCCTTCAGATCCCAGATTTTACTCCTCTTAGCCTTTCCTTTGGTCTTGAGAACACTCAGACGTAGTTGGAATCTCTGGATGCCCTTGGGCAGCTGTTGCCTATTTTTGCCAAGCCTCAGTGTCCTCTTCTCAGAAATGGGAATGAAAACAGCTTTACCTCCTAGGGGCATTTTGAAGACATGACCTAAGGCATGTGAAGCATGTAGTGCAGAGCTGGGTACTCAGTAGTGGAAAATATACGGCGGGATTATATTATTAGAATTTAAATAAGAATACAATAGTCTGGCATATTATAAAATACAGAAACTTCCTTTGTGTCTGCATGAGTTACCTTAGTTTGATCAAAATTGGATGAGTTACTGTCCTTAGGAGTTCTTTTCAAAAATCAAACAGGTCAAATGCTCATTTAAAAAGTGAAAAATAGCATGTACCTTGCTAATTTCTAGCCCTGTTGACTCAATGTAGGTGCAGTCAGGATTGGAAAAGATGCCAGCCCCAGCTGCCACATATGAGAGGATAGTTTACAAAAATCCCTCTGAGCACCACTACATGAAAGTCTGCCTGTAAGTTCAGTCTCCTAAGTTCTACTTTTTATTCTTTTATGAATCTGAATAGCATGAAATTTAATGCAATGTATTTTTTCTTTTCAATGTTTTTTACAGAGAATTTCAAGAACATGGGGTTGGACTGAATGTTGCACAGTTCAAACAGCTGCTTATTTCAGCCCTGAAGGACCTATTTGGGGAGGTATGGAATCGCTTGGTGAATTGGACCATTCCTAAGATCTTTGTAATAAATACTGAAAGAACATTTTTCCAAACATTTTAAACTTTGAAACCATATTTGAAATGTCAGAAATGATGAATATTTGGTAGGTATGTTCTGATATGCTTTTTAAAAATATATATTTTTTATTGATTTTAGAGAGAAAGGAAGAGGGATAGAAACATCCTATGTAATAAAACCCTAATGCAAATCAACTGAACTGTGGATCGACCAGTTGCTATGATGCACACTGACCACCAGGGGGCAGAAGCCAGACTCATGGCTGGCAAGCACAGTGGCGGTAGTGGGAGCCTTTCTTGCCTCCACGGCAGTGCTAAGGACCCCGAGGGGTCCTGGACTGCTACAGGGCAGTCGGGGATGAGGGATACCCCCCCCCCTCCCCGCCCACGAATGTCATGCACCAGGCCTCTAGTCCAGCGGTTCTCAACCTGTGGGTCGCGCCCCCTTTGGGAGTCGGACGATCCTTTCACAGGGGTTGCCCTAAGACCATCGGAAAACACATATATAATTACATTGTTTTTGTGATTAATCACTATGCTTTAATTATGTTCAATTTGTAACAATGAAAATACATTCTGCATATCAGATATTTACATTACTATTCATAACAGTAGCAAAATTACAGTTATGAAATGGCAACGAAAATAATTTTATGGTTGGGGTTCATCACAACATGAGAAACTATATTAAAGGGTCGTGGCATTAGGAAGGTTGAGAACCACTGCTCTAGTAAATGATAAGAGAGAATCACTGATCCGCTGCCTCCTGCACACCCCCTACTGGGGATCTAGTCCGAAACTCAGGCATGACTGGGAATGAACCATGTTGTCCTGGTTCGTAGGTCTCAACACTCAACTACTGAGCAATCGCAACATGAGAAACTATATTAAAGGGTCGTGGCATTAGGAAGGTTGAGAACCACTGCTCTAGTAAATGATAAGAGAGAATCACTGATCCGCTGCCTCCTGCACACCCCCTACTGGGGATCTAGTCCGAAACTCAGGCATGACTGGGAATGAACCATGTTGTCCTGGTTCGTAGGTCTCAACACTCAACTACTGAGCAACACCAGCCAGGCTAACCTGCCTTCTTTTTGACAAGGAACTCATTTTTATGACAAATGTTTATTTTAGTGCAGTGCTATTCAAAGTACATTTGAGACTGACAGCTGATGGGTTTTCTTTGCCCATTTTAAAGATTTGTGGCTCCCAGTAGAATGTAAATTAGCACACATTTCCTTTACTGAGAAAGTCTCCCTGTGAACAAATCAGCTGAACTAAAAGGTGTGCTTACTGATATTGTTGATTTACATTCCGATGCAGCTCCTTATCTTATCACGGACCAGCACTTTGAGCAGTCCTGTGTTAGCATTCACTTGAAAGCAAGTAGAGTTTTGAGAGAGAACCAAAACAGATGATTTTCAGGAAGTTATTTCTTGATTCATATATTCTACCAAATCAAAATCTGCTAAGCATCTTATCAAAATTAAAAACTTTTATTACACAAAATACTCAGTTAAGAGGATGGAAAGACAGATTACAGACTCGGGAAATATTTGCAAACCACATACCTGACAAAGAACTAATATCTAGAATGTGTTAAAAAAAACTCTCAAGCCCTAACCGGTTTGGCTCAGTGGATAGAGCGTCGGCCTGTGGACTCAAGGGTCCCAGGTTCGATTCCGGTCAAGGGCATGTACCTTGGTTGTGGGCACATTCCCAGTACGGGGTGTGCAGGAGGCAGCTGATTGATGTTTCTCTCTCATCGATGTTTCTAACTCTCTATCCTTCTCCCTTCCTCTCTGTAAAAAAATCAAAATATATTAAAAAAAAAAGTAATAGGCTAATTTTTAGGTTGATAAGAAAAGACCAAACAATACAATTAAGGAAATGGGTAAAAGACATGAATAGACATTGCACTCAAAAGGATGTACAGTTGGCAAACAAGCACATGAGTGAAAAGATACTCAGTATCATTAACCATTAGGGAAATGTACATTAAAAACACAGTGAGCCGTGGCCTGGTTGCTCAGTTGGTTGAGAGTCGTCCCAATAGACGAAGGTTGCAGATTCGAGCCCGGGTCAGGGCACATACAAGAATCAACCAGTGAATACATAAATGAGTTATGTATTGGGCAGATCCATGTTTCTCCCTCCCACCCCACCCCTTCCTCTCTCAAGGCAATTAAATTTTTTTAAACACAATGAGATATTGCTACACATCTAGAAGAATGACTGAAATAAAAAATAGTGATAACACTAAATGCTGGCCAGGAAGCAGAGAAACTGAATTATTCATTCATTAGTTGTGGGAATATAAGATGTACAGCCTCTTTGGAACACAGTTGGGCAGTTTATTTTTTATTTTGAGTGTACCTTTATTAAAGCTGGGGGCAGTGAAGCAAAGAAGGGCCTAGGATAGAAGAAGTAATAGGCTAATTTTTAGGTTGATAATTTTGTACGGCCTGCAAATAATGCTATAAATATCCAAATGGCCTTTGGCTGAAAAAAGGTTCCCCATCCCTGTCTTAAACAGACTAAACATGTACCCATCATATAACATAGCAGTTGCATACCTGAGCATTTATTCTAGAGAAATGAAAACAACTTTCCACCAAAACTTGTATATGCATGTTCATAGCAGCTTTATTAGTAAGAACCTAAAAGTAGAAATAAGCCAGATGTCCTTCAATGGGTGAATAGTTAAACTATAATACACTCATACTATGGAATATACTTAGTAATAAAAAGGACCAAACTATCGATACAACAACTTGACCAAATCTCCAGAGAGTTTTACTAAGTGAAAAGCCAATCCCAAATGAAATGGACTGGGTGATTTCATTTATATTATGCTGTTGAAATAACATAAATGTATAAACTGGAGAAATTTAGGAGTAGGTGTGGCTGTAAGGGGGTAGAAGGAAAGAGCCTGTGGTGGTGATATAGTTCCTTTTTTTAAAAAAATATATTTTTATTGATTTCAGAGAGGAAGGGAGAGGGAGACAAAGATAGAAACATCAATAATGAGAAAGAATTACTGATCGGCTGCCTCCTGCACGTCCCCTACTGGGGATCGAGCTCACAACCCAGGCATGTGCCCTTGACCGGAATCGAACCTGGGACCCTTCAGTCCGCAGGCCAAAGCTCCATCCACAGCCAAACCGGCTAGGGCAGTGGTATAGTTCTTTATCTTGATTGTGGTGGTTACATGAAACTACCTATGTGATAAAATTGCAAAGAACTATGCATATGCACACACATAAGCAAACAAAGATGAGTGCATATATAAATGGTAAAATCTGAATAAACTCTGGTTTATCAATTTCATTTTCCTGGTTTTAATATCATACTATATTATACAAGATGTTAGCATTGGGGGAGACTGGGTAGAAGGTGCATGGAACCTTCCTGTACATTTCTTTGTAATTGCCTGAGACTCTAATTTTTGAAAGTCAAAGGTTTAAGAAAAAACTTGGGGTGGTGAACAATACAATATACAGAGAATGTGCCCGGCTGGTGTGGCTTAGTGGTTGAGTGTCGACTCATGAACTAGGGGGACACGGTTCAATGATTCCCAGTCAGGGCACATGCCTGGGTTACAAGCTCCATTCCCAGGGAGGAGCAAACAGGAGGCAGCCAACTGATTATTATTTTTCATCATTGATGTTTCTATCTCTCCCTTTCCCTTCTCTCTGAAATCAATTTAAAAAAAAAACAATATACAGAGAATGTATTCTAGAATTGTACACCTAAAACTTATATAAGTTTATTAACCAATGTCACCCCAATAAATTCAATAAAAAATAAAATGATTTTTTTTTTTAATTTAAGAAAACTTTGTATCCTTTCCATGTCAGGTATTAAACCTGGCTCCTGGGGATATAGCTATAAACCGACACGGCCTCTGTCTCATGGACTAATGGTCTTGATTATGTTGGGTAGGCAACCAGGTTGAACAATTAATGGCAAAAAAAATGATGACTATTATATGTGGGACCTGAATGTGAGAGAGCAAAGCAAGTGATTGAGCTTCATCTTGGGGGTCTGGAGGGAACAATTTCAATGAAGACTTGAAAGGTGAAGAGGCATTAGCAATGTGAAGAGTTACAGGAAGAACATCCCAGGCCGTGAAGAGGTATAAATAAGCAGGTCCAATACTCCAGTGGCATTCAATAAAATACTGCTTCTTTTTGGAGGAGGAAAGCAATTGATAGGATTAGTTACTAGATTCTAGACTGAGGAAGGTAATAGTCTTTTAATAGCATTGTCCCATACTTAGGTTGACGCTGCCTTACCCTTGGACATCCTAACCTATGAAGAGGAGACCTTGTCAGCCATCTTGAGAATATGTAGCAGGTACGACAAACAGCATTTCCAGTATAACGGAGCAGAGATGGGTGGGGAAATAGAGCCAAAATGCTCTTTTCTGAGAATAAGAAGAGCTTTGTCATTGTGAATTCTGAGCAGCTTTTTGAAGTTTAAACTGGGGAGAATATGAACATTCATCTAGCAGGAGCTTACACCCTAGAGAGCAAAACGTGGATTTGCTTACAACTGTAGTGTTTTCCAATTGATGGTGATGGTTGCAACTTCAGAGATATAGCCCTAGCTGGTTTGGCTCAGTGGATAGAGCATCGGCCTACAGACTGAAGGGTCCTGGGATCGATTATGGTCAAGGGCACATGCCCAGATTCCAGGCTCAATCCCCAGTAGGAGGTGTGCAGGAGGCAGCCGATCAATGATTCTCATCATCGATGTTTCTCTCGCTCTCTCCCTTCCTCTCTGAAATTAATTAAAAAATATATATAAAAAAAGAAATTAGTATTATTTTAAAATTCAGAAATATATATTTTAGAAACATTTCTAATTGTGGTTCATTTTATTCTCTGCCGATAGTATAATATGCTTTAAAGTTTTCTCATTTAAATTGAGTTTTCTGAACTGTCACAAACAAAAGTACTTGGGAGATGTTGCAGGGACACATCTTTATGCTTTCTCAATTTTTCTGCAGTGGTCTTGTCAGATTGTGGAGCTCTTTGACCCTGTTAGGATCCTATAAAGGCAAGAAATGTGCCTTCAGAGTGATTCAGGTAAAGACTATTGCTTCACATATTCCAAACAAGGCTGAGTAGTGGATCAAACTGCTTTTTAGAATGTGTTCCATTTTTCTGCCTGTATAACTCTAGTTTGGTTACTGTCATCCAGTGGGGAGGGAGGGGAACCCAGGCATTCATTGCTTCTGGAAACATGAGGCAAAGCACTTAGAGTTTAGAATGTATGGGAAGAGTTTTGGGATAAAACTTGGAACCTTGTGGAGAAATCTTAACTTTCACTTACTGCGTAATGCCTAGTGACTTGTGTATTGGAGCGCTCTTTCTGAGCTCATCATGACCACTTGTTTATCTACGGCTACCTCTCAGAACGCTTGTTAAAATGCTACTGCATCAGGTTGGCTTATTCTGTAAGCTAGGCATGTTTCTACATTGCCCTGCGTTTCAGTGCAATTTTCTCCTGATAACTGTGTAAACATTTTTCTTTCTGTTATAGGTTTCTCCATTTCTCCTTGCATTATCTGGTAATAGTAGGGAACTAGTATTGGATTGAATGGTCTTCAATTTCAGAAACATTCCTCTGCTCTCAAAACTATCTTTTGGTGCCAGCATAATGCTTGATGACTGAAACAGGCTCAGCGCTCCTGTTGATGGAATTTGAGAGTGCCGAAGATGTTCCCCATGATTTCCAGCTGTCGTCTTTGGTGGTGTAGCCTTCAGAGGAGAATCTGCCTGAACCAGCCAGTTGTAAGCAGGCAGCACTTTCAGCATATGCACATCCGAGTTGGAGACCGGGCTGAACTCAGCAGAGCCTTCACACAAAGGGATGTGGTTGCCTTCTCAGAACTAACAGGGGATGTTAATCCTTTGCATTTAAATGAAGATTTTGCAAAGCACACCAAGTTTGGAAAGACAATTGTGCATGGAGTTTTGATCAATGGACTTATTTCAGCTCTCCTGGGTACTAAAATGCCAGGCCCAGGCTGTGTATTTATTTCCCAGGAAATTCACTTTCCAGCCCCTTTGTATGTTGGAGAAGTTGTTGTAGCTTCTGCAGAAGTGCAAAGGCTGAAGCGGTTCATTGCGGTTATTGCTGTGTCATGCTTTGTAAGAGAAAGTGAAAAGACTGTTATGGAAGGCTGCGTGAAAGTTATGGTCCCAGAAGCTTCCAAGCCCTGAAATATGTGTTTAAAGATGCAAGCTCAGGCATCAGTGTTACTGTTATTGAAGAGCCTCTGAGAAAAACGGATTGCTGCTCTTCAACAAGGAGTGGCCAGCAGACCCAGCAGCCCACAGCGGGGGAGGGAAGCAGGTAGCGAGGGGTTCACATGTCCACTTTCTAATTTGGCCTTATGTTTCATACAGATGAGTCTATTTATCATCTAAGTTTGTAAATTTGAAAAAATATGGGGAAAGTTATCATTTAGCTCAAGGTTCTAATTTTAGGATTTCAAACCAAGTTAAATTTGCATTTGGATAACACAAACTTACCTATATCTGCATAGAATAAATTTCTCAGTGAATTTATAGCTAGATAGCATTTAATTTTTGACAGCAATTAGAATAGGAGTTGGGTAATCTTTGAACACCTGTCTTTTACCAATAAATATTTAAATACTGTTCTTCAGTAGTTTCTGGGTCAGAGTGTTTTGTAATTTGTTACTGTTTATACCAGGATGGCATCTTGCTTAACCTTCAAGTGGAACGTGCCTCTCAGATGGTTTCTTGATATCAGAGAAATATTTAAACTCAGTTATGTAAACTCTTGGTCTAATCTACAAAATGGGGGTAATGACACCTACCACAGGATTGTTGGAGATGCAAATAGCAAAGCACAAGGCCTAGCCTGTAAACAGTAGCTACTACTATTGTTCCTTCTCCCCTGTGAATGAGGTTAGAGGTTTTCCTGAGTTTAAAGCTAACTGGCCTGCAGGTAAACAGGCCAGTCTTTCAGGATGTCAACCAAGCTCTTGGTATTTTAAACCTGGAATAGTTCTTGAGTGCAAAATTTCTATTTTAGCAATCCAGATTATTTTCTCCCTCCCTTAATAATGTGCCCCCACCCCCCGTATATAAATAATATATACTTATTGTAAAAAAATTTATAAGAAATAAAAAGTATAAGGAACACCGTGGAGGCCAAGTTCTTCAGAGTTGGGGGGCATTAAAGAGAAAATGTGCCTAATGTGTTAGTATTCAATAGTCATCCCCAACACAGCTAATCCTTTTAAGACAATCTGTAACAGAACATGCTTGTGGCCCACCTGAATGGCTCTGACCATACCTAGATGCTTTGATCAGGAAAGTAAGATCAAGTGTAATTGGTTGGATCAACCCACATTTCCTGGAAAAAGGTTTTTTGTCCTGCTAGTAGATAAGTAACTAGATTTTTATTTTAGTTTTTTATATTAAGGGGATCAGTTAAATGGATTACTTGAAAGAATTCTAGTCACTAGAGGGCAGTGATGTGTATAAAGTATTTTTAAACTTGTCTAATATTGTACCATACTCTAGTTTGTGACTGAAGTAAAAATAATCAAAATCAATGTGAGAAACAAGGGTGCCATTCTCATGCATTTCAGAGTGGGCAGCATTCACAGGCTCATATCCACCGGAAGAAGGCTTGCTGATAGATAAAACACTGCACATGTTGAAAATTTGATATACGTTGAAAAAATGGGGAACTTGCACAAAATTTGGACTGAAGCCATATTCAAATTCTATAGAACTCATTCTCTGACTTAGCAGCAGTCTTGAAATGGAGTGTGATATCATCATTAATACTAATAGCTACCATTTCTTCAATACTTGATGAGCCTATTTTCTACATTAATCCTTTGAACAACTTTGTGAAGTTAAACTTATGTTGTCCTATTTTATAGGCAAGGAAACAGACTAATGCTGCGTGACTTGCCCAGGGTTGTACAGTGAGTATGCAGGAGAGCTGGGATTCAGACAGGCCTGCCTGGCTCCAAACATTTCTTTTTTACATCACCCTGTGTCTTATAATATTCCCATTACTAAATCAATGTCAGTTTCTAGAATAGTATCTTTTTATGGCCATTAAAAGTATCTGGAAACGTCATTCTATAGAATTTTTCTTATATTCAGAATGTTCTAGATCTTATTCCCTGCTACAGTTGTAGCATTTTCCTCTATACTATTACTTTATGGCTTCCACCCATACCTATTCCTGCCCTTTTTCTAAGTTGACATTCAGTGATTATTTGTCTCCAGAGCAGATTTACTGAAAGAGTTATTCTAAAGATGAAAAATTATGTGCAGGCCAAATATTTGGGGGTGGGTGGGAAGGGGTGTCAGAACTGGCTGTTAGCTGATTTATATTGTATAACTCGAAAGTATTTTCTCAAGCTCATTTCCTTTTTCTTTAATGCCCCCTAGGTGTCATGATCTTTGATCTCTATAAATCAGTAAAAAGTTGAATAGATGAGTAGGCAAGAAGTTAGGGATGCTTCTCTGTAAATGATGATTTGTTATTTTTACTCAGAGCCAAGATTTTCAAACCAGCTATGTTAAAGCTGGCAATAAGAAAAACTAGCAAAAGAAAAAGAAAAGAAAGAAAAATTAGCGGGTTGGCTTTTTCATTTTGAATCCTGTACGGGTAAGCTGCTGGAAAGAATGACTTCTAATGAAAGTGTGGGTGACCCTGAAATTAGGAAATCTTCCAGATAACAGAGATGGCTTTGACCATGTGAGGTCACACATGGTAGTGAGTACAAATGACTGACTAAAATAGCAGGCCAAAGTGTACTAGCACTTTCCACATAGGGGCATTATAAGACTACAATTTATGCAATGTTTGGTTGTCACAGGAAGATATACTCATCTTAAGCAATTTCAGCCTAATGTACTGGAAAATTGCTTAATAGATTTTTATATTCTATTAGAAACATTTCCATATTGGTAATATGTTTCTTTTTCTGAGCAGCAAATCTTGAGTAACAGTGGAGAAAGCCTCACCACAGCCACCATTCATCTTGTGGACTTGACTTGTATATTTATCTAGAAAAACAAGAAATTGCTAAATGCATGCTGGTACCTCTTAGGTAACCACAGGTTTTCATTTTGTGCTAAATTACTATTTTTTTTAATGTTCTTAGTGTATGATTCAGAGCAATTTACTCCCAAAGAAAATTGCTATTAAATTACATCTATTAAATTTTTATGTTAAAACATACTCCACCAAGGGCTGTCACTCTGAGCAGCTGTGCCACTCTGAATGCCTCATGTGTTGGCAGAATTTATGAACTGGCTCTGTCTGAGCAGAATGGGAGCACTATGGAATGTCTCTTGGGCTGCACTTGAACATCTCCAGGGCCCCAGATGTTTTACTTCCTTTGTTCTTGGCTTGTCTTCATTTGGGTTACAAACACAGCAGAGACAAGAATTCTCAACGTCTTCAGTGAAACTTCAGCTTGGAGCAAAATCAACTCGAAGAAATTTAAGTTCAAATCACAGGAAAACCCAAAACGAATGTTGACACTGCATGAATAGAACTGGATTAGTAGGAGGTCCCATAGTCAATTTCTAGGTGCCTCTTAGCTATGATAGTTCACATGACCTTAGAAACCTTGGGAATATTCCTCTGCAATGTGGTGGGCAATATCAACACGTAAGAGAAATAAGATCAAATTTGAGTTGAATTTTGTTTTTCTATCCAGATCATGAAGTTTCGAGTCGTCAGGGATATGAAAGCACCAGGAGAAAATAAATGTTAGCTCCAAAGTCCCTCCTAGGAGAGGAGCACTCAAGCACCAGTGTTATGATTGTCTGTTTATTTGAATATTTAAAGAAATAAAGTCATTTTGAGTTGGGAGGCGATGCTGCTTAGGAAGCACTGAGTTTTCCACAAGCTTCTATGATTTGATTTGTGGAGCAGTTGCAAGGTCTAAAAGCATCCTCACTAAAACTCATCTTCAGCCCATCTGGCCAAACGTCAAGGTATAGATAACCTATGGGCCATCTAACATTTGGCAACATACAAGGATATAAATCTTTTGTTGCTTCCGGCTAGCCCTGAGTAGTCGTGTATGTGGCAAAAACTAAGGTCCTGCATAATGCATTAGCTTTGCTCAGACTGAGACTGGAAGGAAGGCTAATTTGATTTGTTATTCCTGGGGAGGGTTCCCCCCTTGCTGTGTGAGCCACTTCAAAAGCCCAAACAGGTGTTGAGGCAGTTGTAGGGTTTGGGGCCTGGTCTCCAGTGAATCTAGGGATCCAGTTAAGTTCAAGGTCCTAAGAGGATCACTGACAAGGCACTGATTTGGGAAGATGAAAATGAAGTTATAAGGTTCACCATAGCATTTATTCTGAAGGGCTTAGTTCAGGCAAGAATTTCCAGAGAAAGGGAAAGGCTAGACTGAAAGTTGGTTTCTGGTTTCATTCCATCCAATATCTGGTTTCTCACTTTCAGTTTCCTTTTCCCAGTGAGGAAGACTAGACAAGGCTGTTATTTTATGACCTTTGCAACTCATTGTATGATACTGTTTTTTTCCCTAATCATACAAGTAAATTATCTCCATTAGAGACATTTTGAAAAACAGGAGAGCATAAAAATGGAAAGCATCATGATCCCACTTTCTAGGAACCCTAAGTTAATATTTTGGTGTTTTTCCTATAATATATATTTTTAAAACTTGGTATCATACAAATGCATATACAGTTGACACTTGAACAATGCAGGGGTTAGGGACACTGACCCCCATGCAGTTGAAATTCCACAAATAATTTTTACCTACCTCAAAACTTAACTACAGTCAACCCTTGGTATCGATTGGTTCCAGGACCCCCCCATGGGTACCCAAATCTGCAGACGCCCAAGGCCCTTATATAAAAAGGCATAGAAAAAAGCATATAGTCAGCCCCCTGCATCTGCAGATTCCCAACCATGGATCAAAATACTGTTTTTGGTCTATAATTGGTTCAATCTATGGATGCAAAACTGGAGATACTGAGGGTGAACTATATTTATTGAAAAAAATCCAGGGATAACTGGATCTGCACAGTTCAAACCTGCATTGTTCAAGAATCAACAGTTGTTTTTTTCCACCTACTATTATATAAAGAGCATTTCTTAACATCATTTCGTATTCTTTGATAATCTGATTTTTTAATCTTATTTTTAATAATGGAAAAATATTCCATTTATGATTAACCATGATTCGTCCAGTTCCCTCTTGTTAGATCCTTATCCTCATGCTGTATATTTCCACTGATGTCTGATTATTTCTTTAGGATACACTCCTAGATATAGAATTACTGAATGAGAACATTTACAAAGCCCTTGATAAATCTTGTTGAATCCCAGCACCAGACCTATTACATGGTAAGTACTCAGTAAGTAATTGTTGAACGAATAAGTGCCTTTAGAAAGGTTGGAGCATTGCAGAGTCCCACCAGCAGGATGCAAGGAGAGCTTTGGCATGGCCAGTGCACATGATTGGAGAATTGATTAAAGCAGAATTTGGGTATGTGTGATTCTGGCGATGAAATAATCCATTTGCATGAAAAAATAAAAGTTACAAGTTGAATCCTCTCTAAGTGATGTAAGATTTTGTTTTAATAGACCGATGCTTTTAAACTCTCTGGGCCTGGCCAGCATGGCGCAGT